CTGAGGCAAGTTTTTAATTAAAAGGTGTTACAACAGCAGCCCTTGAACAGATCCACCCACCCCCTGGATCTGTGCCAGCTGATTTGCACAAGTGACTGGTTAGACAAATGTCTGGCTCAAGTCAGAAGGAGAAATATACAGCGCTGCTCTTAATATAAGCTTTTTGGAGCCTCATATTAACTTTCAAATATGACTTTTCAAGTTTCAGGTGCTGGCACTGATCCCTTTACTAATTAAGTATGTACTGTTCTGAGCAATCAGCGTTTTCTTATGGCTGTGATAACAAGAATTATTCCTCATAAGAACCTGTTTCTGAAACCAGTCATCATGGGATGACTGGATCATATCCACAAAGCACATTTCCCAAGCTAGTGGCATTCCTTGGCAAAGCTCCACTAAGCATATTGTATGCGCATTCCTCAGTAAGGATATTCCCAGGATATTTAGAAGGAAATAGGACGAGTCTTTAAACAAAATGACTCAGGGAAGTGTAATGAAGACATAAATATCAACTCCACAGTCCAAGATGGTGAGGAATCTTTTTTGTGGCACAGAAACAGACTCCTAAAACGATGAAGAGTTTCTATTTATATTACATGAAAAGGGAAGAAGTGACCTATTAAAATTCTAACAGCAATGACAAGAGTATGAAGTAATCAAGGAAGTCAAAAAGACAAACAAAAGTACTTTAACGTGGCCCTCCCTGGTGGCGCAGCAGGTTAAAGCACAGCACAAAGAAGCTAAAGCCACTTCTGCATGAGTTCGATCCCCGCCTGGAGGTGACCCACATGGCGAGGCAGACCTCTCCTGACCTGCCCGCTGCTCCCCTCAGCAGTGTACTTCATCGATCTGCCTGTTCTGAACCCCACTCTATCTCTGGTGAATCCTCTCACCCTCCGCATCTCTGGCCTGTACCCCAGTTCTGTACGAATAAATAAATAAATATTAAAAAAAATTACTTTGACGTTCTGCTGATTGGTGAATACAAAAATTTTTATTGCAGAATATTCTGGAAATTTCTTAGGCAGACTTAAAAACTGTATTGACCCCCTACCTTTACAAAGCAGTTCTTTATAGCCCAGCTAAGGATGAGGCACTGGCAGTTAAGACTTGATGATTTCACTAGTTATTCTGGGACCACAGCATTTCCATCATTTTTTGCAACATTTTCCAGTTATAACCTTGTAAATTATTCATTGCTTCAGAGAGAACCTCACTGTCAGAAATACAACACTGACCACATCTTATTATAAATAAGCACAAAAAATGCCATGCAGAAAGAAGTTTGCTCCAGCTTATCTCCACAGCTTATGACATTTGTACAATCTATCTCCACTGTCCTTTTAGTTTTATGATTTCATCTTTACCAGCTTTATCATGCTACTCAGACAGTGCATATGACTACAATCACGCCAGTGCTCAAAATCGGTGCACACAGTCATAACTACCTGGAATTGAGGTCATCATCAGTTTCATCTGCCCAAGTCAAAACCTAGCAAGGTTTGAATCTGGCCATGTAAAGGTAAGAGTGAAAATTAAACATGAAGCAAGTTAAATATAGAAAATTTAAAATTGAATTTCTTTTTTTTTTCTCTGTAATCATCCAGTGGAATATATTGATATAAAATAATGTCACAACTGGCTTAAACATTTTACTTGTGCGAGGATAGTCATGGAAACAATAAAGCAACTGAAATAGGTCTTATCTTTAGAGTCATAAACCAAGATTACTTTCCCTATTCTGTGTTATGGGCTGAATTATGTCACTCCCTCCCCAAATTCATGTTAAAGTCTTCACACACACACACAAACACACGACTCAGAATGTGACTGAATGATCTCACAATGTGAGTATATTTGGAGACAGGTCCTTTAAAGAGATAATTAAGTCAAATGAAGTCGTGTGGATGGGCCCTAGTCCATATGACAGGTGTCATAAGAAAAGATTAGGATACAGTTACATATAAAGGGAAGAGCATGTGAGGCACAGCAAAAAGCACCCATCTGCAAGCTAAAGAGAGGTCTCAGAAGAAACAACCCTGCAAACACTTTGATCTTGGTCTTCCGATGAGCAGAACTATGCAACAAGGGCAGCTAGTAGCGGGAACTTTGTTCTAGCCTCCCTAGGAGACCCGTCTTCCTACTCTAGGTCTTGTCACCACCATTTAATTATTGGTTCCTTCTTTTATCAATTTCATTTCACTTTTCCCACTCTCTCTTTTTCTCCACTGAGCCCCTCTCCTCTTCCTATCTTTGTCCTGTGTCTTTCCTTACTTTTAAAAGAGTTCCCTCCCCCTTCTTTCCAGACAAAGGGAGAGCCCTGAGTCGGTAGGGGAGAGAAGGCACCTCATGGTCAGTATCCACGGTGTGCTGGAGGCTCAGGGCACCTGGTTTGCAAGGATAGTGCAGAATCAAAACATCATCAGAATACGGGATTTTGACCAAATTACTCAATTTCCCCAAACTTCTGTTACCTATAATATTTTTGAATGTGGTGGTACAAATTCTTGCAAGGTGAGGTAAGGTTCAATTCAAATAAAACACTGGAAAAGATATACCTTATGCCAGAGTAAATTGTTTATAGACTAGTCATCATAACTTAGTTTTTCTATAGAGTACCAAAGAGGTACTACTAATTAGAATTTCATAATATGGTATCATAGAAATACCCAAACAGCATATAATTAAAACTTCTGTGATTCTGAATATTATATATTTTAAAGGTTTCTATTCTATATTTCATTGGTCTGGTAAAGTTTATTATTTTTTCCCCTGCCAGTTAATGTTTGTAAGGAGTTCTGTACTTGGTGTTAGAAGGAAGACTCTAGAAACACAGAAAACCTTGGTTGTGCATTCATGGATTAGCAGTTCAATTGTAAAACTAAAATTTCAATAGTAAAAACACTTATAAAATAAGTTTGAAGTACTTTTCAGGACTGCAACAGGTTATACATATCTCACCACAGGTCAAGCCAGGTACATAAACTTTCTAGGACAACTTTTTAGATAGCATTTTCCAACTATCATCCATCTAAACTTGCTGGAAGCAGAAGTTAACAAATCTGATTAAAAAGACTTAAAATTCAGAATATTCATTAAAAAACTGAATAGCTTCCTGTATTTTATTTAAGCAAATCTATAAATATTTATAAAACAGAACCCTTTAATACACTAGTATTTTTAAATACTCTTAAATCATAATTTGAAAAAAAATCATATTTTTATTTTCTTATTAACATCTCAGGAACTCCTGCAAAAATGTTATTGACAAGAGCAACATTTCAATATAGGAAAAAGACATACTCTTCAGAAATGGAATTGATTGCTGACTTGAGAAATATCTGACTTTAGAAACATTTCAACCAAAATTTACACTCACTAGTAAGAATGATGAAAATACAGTAATTTGTCTGGAAGGGACAAAGGGAGCAAAGGGCTTAATGTGTCAGCAGCAACATGTTATAGCAATCACATCTGCATTTAGATCCTTATTTTACCATTTACCACTAAGACATGGGGAAAATTATTATACATTTCTGAGTGTCATCTCCCTCATATTTTAAACGAGTCCAAAAATGGCAGCCTTGAAAGGGCATGAAAAGGACAGGATGTGCAGCCCACCTGCCCATTAGCCGGCCTCTGCTGGTGGAATTTTGGAACAAAAATGTAACATGCTAGCCTTTCCCTCTCCCTAACTGTGAATTTTCTAATTCAATTTTTTTTATGTCCTTTTCACCACTTATCCCTTTTCTCCCAAATCTAGCATTGTACACAGAGGAAATCTTCAATAAATATTTGATGAATGAATACATGAATAAATAAATGGCAAATAATTTAAAAATGGAAGCAGAGGAAGAAAAAAATCAGTCAGTGAAGACATCTTAAGAACTGGTAACAGATCAGTGTCTTAGGCAAACACAGTTAAAATCTAGAGAAAGAAACTAAAAACACAAAAAGATAATTTTAGCTATAGGAGGATAAAAGAAAAAAGGTGTGGGGGGGGGAGTACTATTGTAGCTGCCAATCACAGGATAAGGAGCCCTGAAAAAGATAATTCAGACTTCTTGCCATTTTTTTTCCTGTAGTGTATCGCTAGAGTAATATAATAATTAAGGTAGCAAGCCAAAATGATCTAGCACATTAACATATAATATTCAATGAAGAAAAACGAAGCTTATTCTCTTGCATGCTTTGTGAAGACTGTGTCTTTCTAGAATATTTTAAGAGTCTCATTTTTACTACTGTACCTACTACTTGCAAAGCTTTTTGGTTAATATGTTTTAAAGACTGACGGTGAACTCTTTTTCATAGACCCGGTTAACTCGGGTACTTTTTAAAATGAGAATAATGAAGAAATATTCGTCAGCAGAATATGTTTTTTATTACTTTAGAAAGGAGTTTCTTCTCCCTCCCTGTGCACCCCCTTCCCCCTATCTACCATCATTTGACAATCTGAACATTTTCAAAAGCAGAGCATATAGCATTAAGTAGCTGGTCGCCGAGAAGCCTAATGGACAAGGAGCTGCCAATAAAGTTAACGATCCATTGAGACAAGCGTCCAAAGAAACACCAGGGCTCCTCACGAGTAGAAGCTCCCAAGGATGTCTCGCCCCTTTGCCCCAAACCTATCCGTCGCCCAGCAACCCCCGCACGCCCAGGCTGGGCCAGCCCTCGCTGCCGTGGCAACGGGGCCGCGCAGCCGCGCAGGCTTTGTGCAAAAAGCCGCTGGGCGCTGCTCGCCGCGCTCGCCCCCAGCACCTGCTGGGGCCACAGCAACTTTTCAAACTTCTCTTCACCAACTGCCCTGCGGGCTCCAAACTTCTCTTCACCAACTGCTCTGCGGACTCCGCGGGATTTTTTTTTACTGACCCTCGCCTCCTTCCGCCCTTGTTTCAAGAAAAAAATGCCTCACGGACATAGGATTTTAACTACCTGCTACTTGGTGGTCCCTTCTCCAATGGTGAGGGAGGCGGGGCAACCATGAAGGGAAAAACTCTTACCTTTCTCAGCATTCCATTCCTCACCTCAGCAGGGGCCTCACAGCGGGGTCTAACCATCCCACGCGCTGAGCTCCAAGTGGGGAGTCCGGTGGGAAACTTCATCCAGAACGAGCGACGCCCCGAGGGCCCCTCGCCCTCATTTGCACGACAAAGGGCGGTTAACTCGGGCCTCCTGGTCCTAAAACGGTTAATCCATCCGACTGTTACCTTCCAGGCCAGTGTTCAAATTAACTCAGAAGGGCTGTTCACAGGCCACATTTCCCTGGCGACGAACAATTCCACAAGCTCATCTTTGGCAGCGCGTTCCAAGACCTGAAGCTGTTTTGTTGCTCTTAGAAAGACATGGTGAAGGGTGGGAGCGGCCGGCGAGAACCCGTTTCCAGCCGACTCAAGGTTGAATTTCTATAGAGTTTTCCTCTCAGGGTTCCTGCCGGTCCGTTGCTGTTGCATATTCATATTGAGGCGGAGTCTCTTTCCAGCTCTTTTGCATCCTACTTGAGGAAACAGAGGAAAGAAGTGGGGATGATTGGAAGGAATCACTAGAAAAAGCATAGACTGGGGAAATGATGGTACTAACATAAATAAGTAAGCAAACATAAGTCACTATTTTTCATTCATCCTCAGGAGGCGAGGACACACATATGAATTGTGCCCAGGAAATTTCAAGGAGACACTAAGTTCCAGGATTTTAATTATGATTATTGGGGCGATTTTTTTTTTTTTTGCCAAGGACTTTTAAAGATGATATGGGGTATGTGCTCATACTAAGGAACGCAATTAAATTTATAATATATATATGTGTATATGTGTGTGTGTATATTATTTGCATTAATTCTACTTAATTTCATCAAAACTGACTGATTTTAGTGTGGTGCAGTCCTCCACCAACCCCTAAACCAAATTTTCTGATTTATAAACAATCAGAATCAATTTATAAACTTGCTAATGGAAACCCATTTTCACCAAATAAAAAATTAGTATAAGGAAAATGACAGAGTGTAAGGGATGAGCACTAAGTCATTCGTGCTGTGGTCTTTTTCTTCAAACATATGGTAAATGGTCTTCCAGAATGACTTCTCTTTCCTCCCTGAATTTCCACCATTATAATCATCACTAAATAACATCATAGAAATCATAGAATTCATAGCCAGTCTACCCCAGCAAGTGTAGTCGGTTACCTGAGAAGGGAGACCTAAAGGGATTCTAAGATTCACTCACCTACCACTTCATGCCCAAACAACCTGCCATGAAGCATTTACCACTGGATTTATCCTTCTGTTTGAAAGTCCTTCAGAAAATTCTCTATTAAAATATGATTTAGGGCCCTCCCTGGTGGTGCAGCAGGTTAAAGCACAGCACTAAGAAGCTAAAGCCACTTCAGCATGAATTCAATCCTCCCCACCCCCCCACCCCGCCCCAGAGGTTGACCCTCTTGGCACCACCGAACTCTCCTAACCTGCCCACTGCTCCCCTCAGCAGTGCACTTTGTCAATCTGCCTGTTCTGATCTCATGTCTCACAGCCCCTGCACCTCGGGCCTGTGCCCCAGTTCTGTATGCATAAATAAATAAATCTTTAAAAAATATATATGATTTAACTGAAAAAGGTGACTCATACTTATTACAAGTGGTTAAGTTACTCACTTTAGAAATCTGCTCATTCCACATAGTCCCACAATAACCCACCTGCAGACAGTTGAGTGAAACAGCCCAGCATCCTACCATGGGTTTGATCTTATATCTGAACTCAACAGCAGCTCTTTGATTGCTGAACTATTGATACAAGACAGAAGATAGGCCTTCCTGGGTCACCTACATCCACTTCTGAGCCCAGGGTAAACCCCTCCCTGACTTCTACCCATCTTCTAAAAATTAAGTACTAGTCATATTTCTGGTTGCTGAACAAATGTTGCTTATGATACTGTAGCACCCCCTTCCCCTTCTAAATCAACTTACCTGAACTCAGAACGTGACCTTATTTGGAATAGGGCCTTAACAGATGGAACTGAGGCAAGGGTTGAGGTGAGATCATACTGGGTGAGGATGGACCCAAAATCCATCAAGAGTGTTCTAAGAGGCAAAAAAGGATGCTCAGACACAGAGACAAAGAGATTATGTGAGGACAGGGGTCATGATTGGAGTTGGGCTGCCTGCCACAAACCAGTCAAAATGAATCTTTAGCATATTTAAAATTAAAAAAAAATGTTTACATCTTGAATCTAGTTATGGACACAATGCATTGTTAGCTACTGTGATCTACAAGATTTAACTCAATTGCCACTCCTGGTAATTCTTTTTGCAACTTCTGTGATCATTAAAAATTAGCATTAGACAAACAAAATCATTGGGAATTTGCTAGTACTAAACCCCCATTTGAAGAAATATTACAAGGAGTCTTAGAATTTCAGAGAGGAATGAACAAAAACTAAACAAGGAATTAAATAGAACCACAAGACATTGACCATAATGGCAGTAATAGACTTCTCCATATCAATAATCACCTTAATGGTCATGCACTAAACTCACCAATAAAAAGACATAGAGTAGCATATTGGAAGGGTGTTAGGGTGTGTGTCTGCTTTTCTCTTCACCATTTTGCCTTGTTGAAGTTGCAAAAATTCTTTCATAAATACTAACCTTCCTCTGTTTCTGCCCAGAATATATAATAAAGTCAGGATGTGGTCCATGACAACTATCTGTGCCTCGAGGATACAAGGATCCCCCTCCCCCATAGGACATCTGAGTAGATATAAAACCATTGATAGGTTAGTGAGAAAAATTCCAGGATTGCCTACAGCCAGGCAGCCTAGTAACAGTGGCTGACAACTTCAACTTTTGGAAAAACAACTACTGTGAAATTTGTGGTCTCACTTAATGGATTTTGAAATTTCCTTGACTGTTCAGACAGGAGAAAGTTTTTGAAAGCTTTTACTGTAGTGTTTTCATAATTACCTTAAACCCCTTCCTTGCTCAGCAGATGCAAGAGCTGAAGAGTTTTCCTGTGGGGCAGTAGATATTTTCTGGGCTTCCTCTTGGAAACTGATAAATCACATGTTAGAAATTTGTGTTTCTGTATCTCAAAAGCACAGAAGGATATATATTCAGTTAAGGAGTATTTATGGCCTAAATAAAGACAAAGCCATGCAAATATAAATTTAAATGCCACTTACCTAGAGAGCCTGATGCTTTCAGTCCATTAAGCTGTACTTCTGGCTCTTGTCTGCACACTGATGGCTCTCCTGCTGCAAATCTCCCGTTAGTCCTTTCAGGCCTCTTTGTCACTGCCAACTTTTCAGGAAAGAGCATCTGATTGACCTGTGTAAATTAGCAACTTGAGCCCTCATATACACCCCCACACACACACATACATGTGACATACATGCACTCACACAGTATATTCACATGTAATGTTCCATACATTTTACCATCATTTGACATGAGATGTCTCCTAGTTTGTTCACTGCTTTTTCCCTGCTGTTAGAATTGAGCACCACAAGACAAGGTTTTGTCTCTTTTGTTCTCTATTATAACCTCAGTGTATAGAATAATTGATTCTCAGCATAGTCATTAAATGAAGTATGATATTTACAGTGGAGAAATTGCTTCTCGATAACTCATCAGTTTATAAGGCAGAAGATACTATTTTCCATGACTTCTTAGGATGTTCAGGAAGTAAGATACTTTGAAGGTAGCAGACCTGAGCATTTGTTTGCTAGATATGGTTACTAGAAGAAAATGGTTTAAAAAAAAAATACCAGCAATGTAGACACAAAGAAGTTCTCAAAACACAGAATACCTTGAGGATGCTGTGCTTCTTAGTATTAAATTGAACATCCATGTGGTTTAGTATCAAATCTTAATCCCAGAGCTAAGGCATCTAGATGATGTATATTTTGAGGAAGTTGCATCTATGGATGTATTCAGGAGCAGTAGTGACAGAGTGGGAGAGTGAGGATGTCTAATGGAGCAAATTTCAACACCCTTGAAGTTGTGACTTGAATTCACAGGTGAAATCCTGTCAGACTCAACAGTGTTCTGAAAACAGTTCCTGACTTCCAGGAGATGGGAGAGGAAGATTACCAAAATTAAAGTTTTCTCCAAGTCTTTCCCTTCCACTGACTCCCAGGCAAGTGGGAAAACAAAGGCTGGAGAGGGTCAAATCTACTGCTTTCTATAACTATGGTCTCCAAAAAATACATGGGTTCAGGGATCAGGAGAAAAGGGATTTCTCGATGACAGACACATGTGTAGGTAGTGGGCCAAACTGGAAATTAAGAAACAATGCACACTTCTGCCTTCTTCACTTCACAACCAGCAGTACCCAAGAAGTAGATTACAGATTGCATGTTCACAGATATGAAAGACAAATGCTCTTTTTAAATGCAAATGCATTGTCTCTATATATGTTTGCAAATTTGAGTTTGTAACTCTCTATTCCTTAGCAGCTCACTCTTGAACAAAGACTTTTTACTCAATGTCAATGAATGAAACTCAAAGTTTATGACCCTCCTAAAACACTAAGAAAGTTTTTGAGATATGCATAATATGGCAATTTTCCATCCTTACTTTTCCTAAGATTGCTGGGAGGTCATGAAATTTAAATGAGATTTCTCTAGAGAATACATTACACTGATATTCATTTTAATATTTTGAACATTATACTAAAAAATTTAAACCGAAATTTTACAGTGTGAGATTGCATTTCAAGAAAGACTTTTTAAAATTTTCATTTGTGACTTAATATATGCAATACATTAATCTAATTTTTTCCTTGTATCCCAGCAAATAAGAGAGGTTGATAAAGAAAAGTTTTCTTTAAGCAAACATAAGTGACAAGTGGGAAATTCTGTAACCTACACTACAGCATCTTTTGCTACCTGTAAATCAAAAAATGTTCAAGAAGTACATTGCATACATAAACCTGTGAAGGGACATTTGAACAGGGAAAGAAATTCAAAAAGAAGTAAACTGAGAAGTGTTCTTTTCAATTTTAAAGCTCACAGCTCACCTCTTAACTCTTCTATTCCTTTCCTCTTTGGATTAAC